CATTGTAATTCAATGGCCATAAATTGCAATTGTTCTCAAGGTACAACTTCATTATCCTTAATTTTTTTTATCTACTATACCTTAAAATTGGAGAGTTCTCTATGTGCCCTAATTAAACATCAAAATGTCATATTTCGGCCGACAAATAAGATATTTTGATTTTTGAGAAAGGCATATACAAAGTTCTCCCAAATTAAAATGTTTTATTAACATAGGAACAACCAACACAACACCAAATTCCAACCACAAGTGCATTGCCATCAAAGACAAAGTTGGTTGTAAAAAAAAGACGTCGAACCAGAAGATCAACAAAGCAAAACCAATTGAATCACTTCCTGACCTTTCGAAGACCAACCTAGTGGTTTATGTTGTAGTCGATTCTAGGCATTTAGAAGCTGTGACACATGATTTTTTGGTTACATATGAAGAATATTATCATTTGTTGAAAAAACAAACATCAAATTTGTCCATCATAACAACTTGACAAATGTAGGTGCATTTAAATTTACTATTGTTTGTTGATATAATGTTTTGTTTTTAGGTTGCTCATAAGATATTACTTAATTTTTTTTTGTAGCATTCTACACTTAATGGTTCGAGCATTTATGAGCAAATGTGCTTTCCAAATTGCGTTTAAGATTCTTCGGAAAGCCTACAAGGAAACTCCGTTGGATGTTGTTATTTATTTCGTTGATGTGATGTGTCTTCATCATGGAACATCGTTTCTTGTCACATCGTACCTACAAAAGTACTGTAAGTTTCTATCTATAGAAATAGTTATTTGTTTATGTTCATTTATACTAACATTTCTAAACATTATTAGTATGCATTAGGTCCTCTTGGTGATTTACCCTTCAAATCTTGTCGTATACGTTTTGAATTCTTTGATGAAGCTTGTACAAAATCTTGTTGACACCTACTACCTGGTCAAACTTGTGGACATGTAGGAAATTTTTTAATATGTCATGAAAATAACATTCTTTCTATAAACTTGAACACAACTCAATTGCTTGTTTATTTTTAGGGATTTTACTATGCATGAAAAAAACACATCAACTCCAATTGCATGGATGCACGCTGAGGTAATTTATCTTATAACTTATTCAACAATTAGATGCTGTAGTTTAATTTATCTTTTTTATGTTTGCTTTTTATCATGAATTTAGTGCAACCAAGTTCACTTATATGACTAGTGGTCACTATGCAATGAAATGGATGTTTGATTTTGTGATGACCAGGCAATGGTTCCTAAATAGATCGTTGTCTCCCAAATAGTGTAAGTACTTATTAATTTATTTTTTCATTTGTTATGTTGCAAGAAACTATCTAAATTGTTATTCATTAGTTTTAATTTTATATTTCATAGAGTTTGATACTCTTTGGAATGAAAAAACTCCTTTGGAGGAAAAGGAATTGGTTATGGCTGTTGCTACGTGAGCCAGAGAATTTCTGAATAATTATATGAACGATGATGTGTAAAAGTGCATATAATGTTAGTTGTTAATCGATATAACATTCTACTTTTAGATTATTTTTTTAATATAAATGTTTTGAAATTGTAGACAAAAAACTGATTATTTTGTTGTGTTTGTTTTTCAGTGAGGAAGCTGCTACACTTGATTATGGGACAATCTTTCTGCAATGTGATAACAATATTTTTTTTGAAATTTTTTATGTAAGTTGTATATAGTAAGAAATGATAATATATAGTAAGAAATGATCAAATCAAAAAACTTTTTGTGACACCTAAACATGTTTACATCAATGACTATAACGGTTGGTTATTTATCATGTCTACATTAACCTAATTTGTTCATCATAACATACTTTTTGTGTTGAATGTGTTGGATGCAATTTATATACTTGTGTAGGTTAACTATAACATAATGTATTTTTATGTAAGCCTCAATAGTTATTTTAACAAAAAAAAAAGAATCAATATTCTCTATATGACCCGGTTATTTGAACTGGAACCAGTGCATATTAAGTTGTTATATGACCCGGTTTGGGGATGGAACCGGGATCTTATCTCCTTATGTGACCCGGTTTTTTTGTGATAGAACCACAACCTAATATCCTTGTATGGTCTGGGTTTGTGTGCTATAGTCCCCTTATATGTCCCGATTTTATAAACAACCATGTTCTTTTGAGGGTGATAAGAGTCGGTTTTAAAACCAGGTTTTATTTCATTTTTCACATAGGACTTGCTGGCTATAAGACCCTGTTGAAAACCGGGTTATTTAGTTGATTTAACCAGGTCCTATAACACGTTTTGTAGTAGTGGTTGCAATATTTCCCATTTTAACCACATATCCATCTTTAATTGGTTGACATTCCTTGAACCAATGAAGATCTTTAGATATATGGCTTGTTGCTCCGGAATCAACCCACCATGCAACATCATCATCTTGCACATAAAATGCTTCAGAAATCACATAAATATAATTCTGAACATAAGTAGAATTCTGCATGAAAACAAAAATCTGATCTTGTTGCTTTTCCGGATCCTTGGATCCACTTGGTCCAACACCATCCTTGTTCACTTTACGAAGATGACAATCTTTCTTGAAGTGACCCGACTTGTTACAATTTCAACAAACCAATTTGGCCTTATTGTTGGAAGACTTGTCATCCTTGTCTTTAAACATCCTTTTTCCATTAGACTTCTTAGGATTCTTTGAAATTTCTCCTTCTACCATGTTCAAAGAAGAGGAACCAACTTGGTTCATGCCTTTAGAATTGTTATCAAGTTCTTGAGTCCTTAAGGACTCTTCAATCCGTAAATGGATTCCAAGTTGAGTCAAAGCTAATTCCCCTCTGTTATGTTTCGGATTATATTTAAAATCTTTCTAGGAAGGGGGCAGTTTTTCAATGTTCACAACCACATAAATGGCTTCATCCATTTTCAGATTGTGTTGAGCAAACTGTCTAAAGATCCTTAACATTTCATGGAATTGTTCCATAACATGCATGGAGTCAGTCATCTTGTAACCTATAGTTACTTACAAGAAACTTCTTGCTTGAAGCATCTTCAGTCATGTACTTAGATTCAAAGAGAATCCCACAATTCTTTTGTAGTTTCAACATTTTGATAGATATCAAACATATAATCAAACATACCATTAAGAATATGACCACGACAGATGTAGTCGTCATTGTCCCACTTTGATCTTCTCCTTGTTGCCTCTACAGTTTCAACTTCAACAAATTCTAGCATAGGTGTACTTAGAACGTACACCACTTTCAGAGCAGTGAGGATAAAGTGCATCTTCTTCTGCCATCTACGAAAATCTTGTGCTTCAAACTTGTTCAGTTTGTCAAACTTGCTTGTCATGTCCTTCACAGATTCACCACTTGCCATGATCACAAAATACTTTGATTTTTGTTAGAATTTCGGGGTAATAAAGACACTTGGATATTCTGAGAATTGTGATTTCACTTTCAAATCAAAGTATTTGGGTGGTATTCCCTAATATTTGATTGGATAAGACTCAGAAGAGATTTAGAATAGAGAATGAGAAGTATGAATTTCGTGAGTACAAAAAACTGACCAAAAATTGGTTAAATACCTCTTTTGTCTGAAAACTGTCAAAACTGTCATAAAACAATTTTCCAACAATCAAAAAAAATTGTCATAAATCAAGGTTTTCTATAAGGATTAATGCAAAGCTCGACCCCAGCCAAGGGGCTCTGCCCCTTAGACCCTGCTCCCGGACCCCCGTTCATTCAGGAGAGTCTAATTTTAATCTTGAATAAACTTAAACAAGTATGCATTCCCGCACCTTCCTTGTTTAATATTCATCAAAATTGATTTTGATCAACAAGTCAGCCAATTACACTTAAATACAATTAGTGAAACAAATCACCAACATCTAATAAGTTCTACAATTTCAAATATTCACAGCCTTATCTATGTTTGATATGTTTATATTTTTAATTATTGGTCGATTTTTGGTTCATAATCTCTCGTAGGAAAATTGGTTTATATGCGCAAGTCCTATAAATAAACCGTAGTTGAAACACAAGTTCTTTTTATTTTATTTTATTTTATTTTATTTTATTTTTTGATAATTTCTACCAAGTCCTACTAACTAGAGCCTAAATATCGTTTCCCAAATCTTCATCCGTAGGCGGTGCTTAAATTCCTAGTGTATATAGACATTTTATACTTTTATATTTACGGTGTTTTTTACTAGTCCTAAATTCACATAACAAAACAGCAATGTTCTTTCTAATTTGTAGAAGTATAAAAATGATTTTTGTGTAAAAGCAAAATTATAGAAAATCTCTTATGAATAGTAAAATTATAGAAAATGTCCATTTATATTAGATTGAAAAATAAAAAGTACAGCAAAGGTGCCCATTTAATAATAAATTTATAGAAATAACGTATACATGTATACATGTATAAGACAAATTTATAAAAACAGTTCCTCATTTGTACTAGTTTGTTCGGTAGGAAATAATTTTTTAACCCTTTATATTAGTTTGTTAAATAAAAAATAACCCTTTACACATGTATCACTAGTTATATAAGCTCTAGGTGCAAAACATGGACTTAAAACCGTCGGTGAACATAAAAATGATTTACTTATGTAAAAGTGAGGGTAGCTAGCTTTATGAAAAGAGGAATTCAAGGAAAAAAAAAATTAAAAGAGGTCAACAGTACAGGTTCTCCTTATCCTTTACTACAAAGTAATGAATGGGCTGCTTATAAATTATAATATATAAAAGAAATAATATGGTAAAGAAAAAAAATATATATATATATATAAACTAAAATAAAATCTCTAACCGGACTATGGTTTTGGTCTCTGTGCGCCTCTACTGTTAACGCAACCATGACCAAAGATTATTGAATCCCCGACATCAATCTTTTATAAAGCAAAAGGTAGCTCGCTATCCAACAAAGCAATTCCATTAACGACTTGATCATTAAAAGCAATGATCTAGAACTGAAACACCATCCAAACCCTAATTCTCGTCACAAGAAAACGAAGATGGTGATCGTCAATGGACAACGAAGCCCTATCAGCTTCACTACAACCATGTTATCACTATCAATGATGATGATGATGATGATGACGACTATGGTGAAAGAGTGTGATGGGTGGATGACGCCATGCAACGGCAGCACCACGGTGGAGTGCATCCATGTTGTTGAGTTCGACGAAGAGGTAGAATTTCAGATGGATACAGAAGTACATAGGTGGATTCTGGGGCAGACAAACTCAGGAGAGCCGCATATCAGTGGTGGAAGTATGAAGCCAGATAAAGCGGTTGGCGGCACCGGATCAACGAGTAACGATGTCGGTCATCGATGCAAAAAAAACACCAAGGCTTACTGTGTTGAGTAGTGAGGATTTAAATGCCAAGCACCAGCAAGAAAAAAAAAATCTTATATATATATATATATATATATATATATATATATATATATATATATATATAAATAATAAAAATTTGGGTCCCAAAAATACATTATGATCAGGAGGTCCATAGTGGTTTTGGTTCTGGTTTGCTGTGTGTTGTTTGAATCGTTGTGGAGGTCTTTCCTTAAGTTCTGGTTGATGCTAAATTGCTTTGTTTCACGACTTAGTTGCTATCGGAATAATAACCATAATAGTATGGTGAATCATGTGTGATGTTGGAATTTATGTTGTAAAAGGCATACATTGCTGATGAAGCAAAGTGATGCCCTGTCAATATGTCTTCGAAGTTTTTGATGATTGAGATGTGTTATATTATACTATTGACAATGGAGATATGTGTGTTCACTCCGCGCAAGTAATTTGAATATCTAATCATATAATGTCATTATGTTTTTTTTTTTTTTTTTTAATTTACTTATTTTCTAAATTCTAGTCCAAAACTATACTTAAATCCTCAATATTTAATGTTAGAACAAACGCCTTTTGGTGTAGAACTTTATTCGACAAACTGACAAAGTATACGTGATATTTTATTAACGTGTCTTAAACATTCAAATGAATAAGTAGATGTAAAACCATATTGATCCAACATGTTAAACAATCAAAATATAACTTCGAAAAATTTAAATAAAAACACATATTGCGAAGTATCGATGCCTCATCATACAAACCATCATACAAACCATGGTGAAAAATTCAATAAATTAGGAATTTGTTCAACTACGTTCATTAATCAATCACTAGTAGAAAATCGCGATTTAACTATAGAAAATTCATCGGTATTCCATAGGAAATGGTCTTTACCGACGGAATTCATGCCTTATCATATTCGTTCGTGGGTAATTTTAATAACGGATTACCGATGGCCAAATCCGTTAATTTTCCAATGGAATACCGATGGCATAGAATCAGCGACATAAACAGGTTTGACCAATTTACCAACGTATTTGCGACGACTCTTTAGTGACGAATATTTCCGTCGGTAATCCGTCAATGCCTTTTTTTAACAGTAAAAATTAAAAAAAAAATCAGTTTATTCCGCCAAAATGAAGTATAAACTAATTACATTAAATTACAAAATGTCAAATACATTATCAAGTGTTTAGCACATTACAAAAAACATCATTTTTCAAAAATAAACATTACAATAAACATCATATACATTCAAAGTGTAAAATACATTGCTAAGTGTTTAAAACATAAAAATTAAGAATCATTTCATAGATTACCAGGTGGTTAATGAATTCTCACATAAAAGCCGCCAATTGCTTTTCAAGTTGTGTTTGTCTTCGTTGCATTTCTTCTTGCAATGCATTTGAACTTATACATGTAACTACCACACCAAAGAAATGATAAAACAAACAAATGGTAAGACAAACATATATAATTAGTAACGTACTTTACTCTTAGAATATAATAACAACGTATGTTACTTTTAATCCATTATAGGAACATAATCAAAACACATTGCCCATATTGGTAGAAAAGAGAAAGTATGCTGTCTCCTGTAGTTTACCAAAAATATAAAACTTTCAATTAAATGTGCAATGCTATTTCTTACATTTTACAAAAGTATGGTGTTTCTAAAATACAGTAAATATCATTATACAAGCATGTGGTAGAAGAACAAAAAGATAAGAAGAAAAAACATGAAGAACATGCATCAAGCATGTTGTTGTATTTCTAGGAGTTTGTTACTCTCACATGTTATCAACCATGTGGTAGACAAACAAAAAGATAACAAGAAGAATAGGCACTAAGAAGATAAGATAAAAAAAACTAGAAACATGTGCATAGCAAAATGCTAATCGAAATTTCTTGTTTGCCATGGCAACTTAACATATATATATATATATATATATATATATATATATATAATATATATATATATATATATAGTAAATCATGTTTTTAGAACAACATACAGAGGGTGTATTATACTCCCTCCGTCTCAAATTAATAGACCATGTTTCCTTTTTGTTTTTTCTCAAAATAATAGTCGACTTCTAAAAATAAATATCACTTTTACCAAAATACCCTTTATTAATAGTTAAAGTATCATGGAATTAAATGCAACTATCATAGAATTAAATGAAACAAAAGAGTATAATTGTCATTTCATTTAATAAAGTTGGTGATAATTAATGTTTCCTTAATCTATGTGTTTTTTGTCTGTGGACAATAATTTTGGGACGGAGGGAGTAATATATTATGATAAGCAGTAAACATCGTACAAAGGGATGGTTTGGTTGCTCATAATAAATCATGATTTCCAAGAGGTGATTTATTATAATCGTAGGTATTATGGTTATCAACAGTAGTAAATTTATTTTGAGAAGCTAACCTGAAGGCGACTTGCAGCTTGCATCCTTGTAAGTCCAGACACTTTCATAGTATCAACTATATCTCTTAGTAAACACCCTCTAATTGATATAGATAAATGAAAAGGTATATAGTGCTTTAGTTGATTCTTGCATTGGTAACTAGAATTATAATGAAATGAAAGAAATAAAGCAAAGGATGCATTAATACTTCCTTCTCCAACTGGCTTTTAGACAACAATAAGGATTTATTTTTCATGAAGTTATTCTGCCCACTCCAAGCATATCTTCTTCTTGGCAATACAACTTTCATCATCAAGCAATTGGATGTTTAAGTTTTCTGTATCATCAAGGAATTGGATGTTTTACTTTTCTGCATAAATGTTCAAATTAGCAAATCAAAATGAACCCTTCAATCATATGTTCAGTTCTCAAACTGAAACAAAAATCAAAATAAACCCTAAATAAAAACAAATCCTAAATCGAAATGAATCCTAACCCAAAACGAAACCTAAATGAAATTAAACCTAACACACTTACTTAAATATATCAAATCAATTATCAGCAATGGCATGGGTAAACGAAAAAAACAGTCACCAAGGGAGACTGAGAATAACGATGCCTTTTTTCCCCTTTGATCGGTGAGAGTTTCCAGCGAGGTGGACCGGTGAGGGTTTCCAGCGAAGTGAACCGGTGAGGGTTTACAACCAAGTAGAGTTTAGTGGAGCAGTGACGGCGAGGTGGACTGCTGGTGGGGGTTGAATCTGTGATGACTATGGCAGACTAGAAACAAGGAGAAGGCAGATGAGTGACGTCACATATGTGGAAGAGGAGAGGAGGTCGGTGGAGTTATGGTCAGAGTTGGGATGGATCGATTTACTACAGAAAACGAAAAGGTGAGAGATGGGAGGGGCAGCACGCTTGAATCGTATGGGAGGGAAATGAAATTAACATTGAAAATATTTGTGGGAAAAGGAAGTGGGTTAATGAAATCGTCATTACCGATTTTCGACGGTCATTTACACCCCGTCTGAGTTCAACTTAACGAGAGAAAAGAAAGGAAATGAGTGTAAATGAGACGAAAGTAAATGAAGTTAGTGTTGTCGAGTTTCATTAAAGGAAGAAAGTGGAGGGAAATAGATGAATCACTTTCCCTCCTAACTTTTCTTTCGATTTGGAAAGAAATAACAAAATGATTAATTTTCCTTCAACTTCTCTCCAACTCGGGAACAAAAAAGACAAATTTCATTTCCTTTCATTTCTCTTCTTTTATCTCCTTACCTTATTTTCTCTTCTCTTCTTTTCTTTGCTTAAACTTGGGAACTAGGCGTTAGAAAAAAAAGTGAACTTTTGTTATTATTATTCTTAATATTTATTTTTGATAATAATATATTCATTATTAATAAAACTATCATATTTATTATGTTTAATAGTAATAAAATTATTATATTTAATAATAATAACAATAATACTAATATATTATTATTATTGTTATATTTATTTTTGGTAAATTACTAAATGGGCTAATGTCATAAAAGCCCCCAAATTTTCAAGAAATGTTTGGTTATGTCCTAACTCCATTTTTGTGTCCACAAAAACCGCACATTTGGGCAAAAATTATCATAATTGCCCTATTTTCCAATTTTGCCCTTCTATGGCATTAGGGATGTTTGGTTCTTCCCGGAAAAATGACCACCACTTCTGGTGTTACTATGATGACCGCTTTTCATCCAAAGATTAGTTCTTTCCTTTCTTATAATCATTGATGAGTCAACAGGAAAACCAAACAAATAAATAGATTTAATCACATAAAACTCACAATTTAACATCTGTTGTTATTTTTCTTACAGTTGTGGTGAAGCAAAGTTTTCTTTGGGTTACTAAAAACAAATAACAAAGATAGATAAATGATTTCTATGAAGCCATTTTTTAAAGTAAAAAAACAACAAATCTGACAAAAAAAGATGTAAAACCCCACAACGATAATCTGCATCTGAAATCGACTTGAGGTGATCATCTGAAATAGAATTTATGCCATAATCTGAAATCAATTTGAGTAAGAACACGAGAATCGTCGGTCAGTGTTGTGAAATCAAAATCCACCATTGAAACTCAAAACCAGATTCATTGATGGCTTTGTAGGTGTGGGACAGAACTCACTTCTGTTATCGTTTCTTCCCCCTTATTGTATGCTCGTATCCTTCTCATTCTCACCAAGTATCACCACCTCCTCTGGTCGCATCAGATATTCAGGATATTCAAGACTGTAGACCAGCAAAATCAAAGCGATCCTTCATATGAACCAAGATGAAAACGAAATTGTTTTGAAAACCTGTAAATTCTAAAGCCGGCCATGGATCTGGGATTGAAGTGGCTGACAATGGCGGCGACGTTTCTGGTGGTTATTGAATGACCCGAGAACGTTTCTAGAGGTTGAACAGATATTGGCGGTAGCACGGGGGGTTTGACAGTAACGGTGGCCGCTGGTGGCCGGCTGCCAGAATAGGAGAGAGAAGAGATATCAACGATGAAGAAAAGGGGGAAAAGGATGCATTTCTCTTGTGTAATTTACCGGAGAAGAAAAGGGTGAGGGTGCAGTGGGCT